CAGAGAGAGAGAGAGAGAGAGAGACAGAGACAGAGAGAGAGACAGAGACACAGAGAGAGACAGAGAGAGAGAGAGAGAGACAGACAGACAGACAGAGAGAGAGACACACAGAGAGAGACAGAGACACAGAGAGACAGAGTCACAGAGAGAGAGACAGAGACACAGAGAGAGAGACAGAGACACACAGAGAGAGAGAGACAGACACACACACAGAGAGAGAGACAGACACAGAGAGACACACACACAGAGACACAGAGAGAGAGACAGACAGAGACAGAGACACAGAGAGAGAGACAGAGACACAGAGAGAGAGAGACAGCGAGAGAGACAGAGAGACACAGAGAGAGAGAGAGAGATTAAATGCCAGCCCCGTTTTAAAAATAACAAATAAAATATGTTTTTACAAGTTATATTTATTCTACTCTGTTGCTAAGTCGATGAGAACGCTTCGTAATGCCGAAATGCTCGCTTCGATCCCAGCTGCGGGCCATGCGCCTTGCGTTGGTTTCGACTGTGGTATCAAGAAAGCCGACCTCCAGTAGCAATGCAAACTACTGGACGTAAATTTGTCTAGAAAAGCCACACAACAGTTGGTTCTGCAACGTCCTGTAAAGGATACGCAACTAACCTATTCATTCTACAAGTGAATCTCTCTCTCTCTCTCTCTCTCTCTCTCTCTCTCTCTCTCTCTCTCTCTCTCTGTCCGTATCTACTCTCTATCTATCTATCTATCTATCTATCTATCTATCTATCTATCTATCTATCTATCTATCTATCTATCTATCTATCTATCTATCTATCTATCTATCTATCTATCTATCTATCTATCTATCTATCTATCTATCTATCTATCTATCTATCTTTCTCTAACTCCATAAGTGCATTATTTTATGATAATATTACTCTCCTTTTTTTTTTCACCCCGTCAGTTTCGATTGATCTCCTTTCCCTGTCTTTCATAAAGCATATCAATCATTATGTGCAGATATAAATCTCTCTTATGGTGTTCCAGCTTGAGCTAGCTGGAAAACTGACCCCCCCCCCCCCCCCCCAACCCCAAGGACGGACACTAAAGCAAAGGTCTGCCAAGGAACACAATACAGTTAAACATGCTATTTTTCCAGCTCTGTTTTACATGACCGGTTATTGATCCATTTATCAGAAATCAATGTCACCATTAACATGCTCCCACTGTTTGATTCCTCAGAGAAAGAAAACTGCCGTCGTATTGATCTTGTTATCTGACAGTGCCGGGACAGACTTCGGAATTACGTGCCTTGTGCAGCTTATTATTCGCGGATATAAATGTCGATGTCATAACTAATCAGGATTTGTGGAGTCCTTTCAGCGGGTCTTCTGACTGAGCAGTTGGGCTAGCGAGTAGTAGAGCCAGTGAGTATTGTTCTGTGTGGATATATTTGTTAAGATGATATAGATTTTTTTTAAAAAGTGTTTTCAGTTGCATTCATGTTTAGGGACTTCGTTCGAAGTCACAGAGCATTAACCCGAAATGCGAGAAACCACGAGTCTGTGTACAAATAATCCAAACCCGTACAACGAATATGAAATGCAAAACTCAAGTTCTTGAACAAAACCAAAGTCTATGAGTGGATGAACACACCGAACTTTCCATCAGAGTTTAAGATGATAAGCTCCAAGAAGAAGGTGTAGAGTGTTGGGTATTTTTAATAGATGTCCCAAAGTATTTCAGGATCCTCGCCCGTGCTTACAGCCTGTGCACCGTGCTGAGCTTCTTCGGACTAAGACTTGAATTAGAAGAAGAACAGAGCACTTATAGGTTGCTGCCCGTGTGCCATGATGTTGATCTGTTGTTTAAACTTCAAACCTCAAACCTAATAGATGTTGCTTACAAGTAGACTCTAAGAGAAAGGAAAATAGACAGACAGACGGACGGTAGATAGGTCAAAAGTGGACTTTAACCTGTATGTAGACACGCATACTGTCACAGACCAACAGTCTACTTATATGAATTGACCCACACACAAAAACATATTTATGAGTTAAAGTTAAGTACGGTGCATCTTTATTTAAAACACCTATAGCCGTGTCATGACTTTAAGCGGTTTATTAAGTGACCTACATATGGTAAGTTGTGTATCTTTTAGAGGACGTAGCAGAACCAACCCCAACAGCCCCTGGCTGTTGTGTGGTTTTTCTAGGCAAATTTACGTCCCGTAGTTTGCCATTTCTTACTGGACGGTCGGCTTTCTTGATACCACTGTCGAAACCAACGCAAGGCGCATGGCCCGCAGCTCGTATCGAACCCGGCATTCCGGCATTACGAAGCGTTCGCATCGACTTAGCCACAGAGCCGACAAGTGACCTACAGAAAACTCTAATACGAACCACACGCTTACTTTACTTAGTCGCTCCTCTTCTACCTTGGGGTGTAGAGGACTTTAGGCGTATAGGGCATATAGGGCTAGACCTATATTTTTATAGACCAATCGGCAAGAGATGGGTGATGTTGTCCGCATCACGCCGGCCGCCTTTACTTCCTGGGACACCCGGTACCCACTCAAGGCTGGGTCGACCTGGGAGCCAAGGTCATTTTTGAAAATAATACGGCTCCGCCAGGGAGCGAACCTATGACCTTCCGATCCGCGGCGAGCGTCTAACCGCTCGGCCACGGCGACTCTGAATCACGCGCATTGAGCGTAAATAACTGGTGACTTCTTCTGCGCTTTGCAATACCAAAGGGGAAAGAGTTAAATTAGTTGTCAGTCAGCAAGCCATGCGTTCTGTGGTACTACAAGAGTTAAAAGGGCGATTCGCATGTTGTGTTTTGATTTACAGCATAAGTGCGATATCGTCACCTTTCTGCCCAACGCCATCCAATTTAAATAAAACCCCATAATTAGTCGGGGCGTCTGTCTGTGATTAGTCTGTCTTAATGTAATTAGAATGGAGAGAAAAAACCTAAACGTACCTCGGGAATAAATAGGAACCCGTTCCTGTAGTTGTAATACATGGTCTGACAAAAAAATAATAATAAATATACTCAAACAGGCGCCATTTATTTACCTTCTGACAGAATTATAACGTCCGCCCAGACAGAAGTCGACAAATAAAACCCGCCACTTTTTTTTTAGCTAATGAAAGATGTGTGGTTGAATATGCAACATGGAGTCGAGAGTAAACATTCATTCTGTTTCAGACTTGGAAAACATTGTTTTGTTTTGTGTGTGTGTGTGTGCGTGTGTCTCTCTCTCTCTCTCTCTCTCTCTCTCTCTCTCTCTCTCTCTCTCTCTCTCTCTCTCTCTCTCTCTCTCTCTCTCTCTCTCTCTCTCAAGTGGCATGCGGCTACCGACTCAACATGCTTGTTATGCAGAGCTAAGCAGACGCTCGAGCACGTTTTGTCGGCGTGCAAAAAAGCCCTGGGCCAGGGAAGGTATACTTGGCGCCACAACAAGGTTCTGAAAGAGTTAGCGACCGTTGTGGACCAAGCTAAGATGAGGGTCAATGCGAGAGCCAGTTCTACCGTCGTCCCCGTGCGCTTCCCCAAGGCTGGGCAGATTTATAAAGGTAAATTCAACAAGGTCGCATACGCTCCATCGATGCTTGACTGTGCGAGGGACTGGTTACTGGCGATTGCCCTGCCTGGTCACGAAAAGTACCCACAGTAATCCGGAAGACCGGCCTGCGACCCGACATAGTCCTACACTCTGCGGAGAAACGTCAGCTCATCCTGATTTAGCTGACCGTGCCGTATGAGTCACGAAGGGACGAAAGTCACATGTATAAACTCGAGAAATACAGTGACCTCGCGGCTGATCTGAGGAGAGACGAAGCGTACACAGTAAGAATCTTCGCCGTCGAGGTAGGCGCAAGAGGTCTTGTCTCCACTTCTATGTACAATGTGATAAAGCAATTGGGATTGCGAGGAAACGATGACTAAAACTACTGGGCGAGGCTACAGAGAAGGCCTCGAGCTGGCTTTGGACACAACGGAACGTCGTGGGGGACGGCCCTCGGTAGGCTGGTCCGGGTATCCAGTGGAAAAGAAGTCTTATCCCTAAAAGTCCATCGTGTCCGAATTGTCTGCCAGTGTCCCTCTGCCATTTACCAACAAAGTCTGATATGTGTCCGATAAACCAACCGTAAGCTTGCCACTTGGTCGTTGAGGTATGCTGACTGCTCTAATATGCTACCGCAGCTTTCACTTAAGCAGTGTCTAGGATTCGTGGGCCGAAACACTTGTCGACGAGGATAATTTCTACTGACGACTGGTAGATCCCTGCTGTACTTGCTCCCAGTGAGTTTATTCCTATTGCTACCGCAGCGACTATAAATAAACTTCGAATTTCACAGTACCTGTTGCATAGTCACCAATTTCGTCTTGTCCCTGTCCGAGAACATCCGGTAATACGTGCAGCAGGAGCAGATCAAGCCTGCGCTTCATAAACTCAGGTGGGCCCACCCTCTGAAATTGTCTAGGAGCTTGTGGGACGAAACAATTGTGGACGAGGGATCACTTCTACTGATGATTGGTAGACTCCTGCTGTACATGCTCCCCTGTGGAGTCTTTTCTTTTCTCACCTTGGTTCCATACCGGAACTTTCACCAGCTAAACACAATGGCGGGTTATTTGCGGTCTTCTGGTCGAAGGGCGTTACAATTTTGTCAGGCAATATAAAAATGGTGCCTGTTTTGCTTTTTAACTTTGCTCCATGGATGGCGTTTTTTTTTTTTTTTTTTTGGCAATAATAAACTTATATCGTTATTTACTTGTCCTACTGTTTATATCTTAATAAAAACGAAAGCAGACGTAGTCAAACTAACCTTTCAGAATGCAAGATTACTTACCTCTTGTAGTTTCTAAATACAGTATTTTAGGCTGGTAAATAAAAGCAAACGAACTTGCAAAGACAGACAGGGGCTGCAAGCACTGTTGTGTAATTTATGAGAAAAAAAAAACGATTTCTTAAAAGATAGTGGACATTTGATTTGGTTACTTAACAGCATCGACAGAAGACAAGATGTCTGTGCTACTGCTGTCTGGTAGGAAAAAGGTGATTGAAACCAAGAAAAAGATTGTCAAGTGAGTAAGCTTTTATATACGATAAAAGTAATGTGCATTTTCTTCTTCTTCTCTTCTTTTCCTCCTCTTCTTTCTTCTTCTTCTTCTTCTTCTTCTTTTTCTTCTTCTTCTTTTTCTTCTTCTTCTTCTTCTTCATCTTCTTTCTTTCTTTCTTTCTTTCTTTCTTTCTTTCTTTCTTTCTTCTTCTTCTTTCTTTCTTTCTTTTTCTCTTTTTCTCTTTCTTTCTTTCTTTCTTTCTTTTTTCTTTCTTTCTTTCTTTCTTTCTTTCTTTCTTTCTTTCTTTCTTTCTTTCTTTCTTTCTTTCTTTCTTTCTTTCTTTCTTTCTTTCTTTCTTTCTTTCTTTCTTTCTTTCTTTCTTTCTTTCTTTCTTTCTTTCTTTCTTTCTTTCTTTCTCTTCTTCTCTTCTTCTTCTTCTTCTTCTTCTTCTTCTTCTTCTTCTTCTTCTTCGCCCTTATCATCTAGCCAGTTTGTTCTGTCACCGGCATTGTGCCATATGCATTAATATTACGTGTGCAGTACTATCTTTTCATGACTGACTACTTCTATCAACTACAAATTGTAATCCTGTTTATGTTGGCAACTCTAGTGGCTACTTTGTGCATTTTACTGCATGTGCTTGTTTTGTGGATTTTGCCGAGACTAGTAGTAGGTTCACTAGTTTTCAAATAGGACGGTGTAGGCATCTTTGTGTGATTTTTTAATGGCACAGGAAAGGAGCAATTATGGGTGTGACTCGTTGTGGAACATTGTTCTTGTCACGACACGCCTCAGAGTTCTTTCTTTCTCTACCAAATTCTCTAGCCATATGTGCTTTCATAGTCAATGCATTGCCAGTGTATCCACATCCGTCTATCTTTGCATCATTTTCTGGAATCTTTTATGTACAACCAATAATATTATCAAGACTATTGCTACTGCTAGTATCACTTGTTTTATAATAATATTAATAATAAAAATAATAATAATAATAACAATAATAACAGTAATGATAACTGTATTATTATTATTAGTACTATTATTATTAGTACTATTATTATTAGTACTATTATTATTAGTACTATTATTATTAGTACTATTATTATTAGTACTATTATTATTAGTACTATTATTATTAGTACTATTATTATTAGGAAGTTGCCGTGGCGTGGCGACTAGATGCTCGCGTGCGGAACGGAAGGTCGTGAGCTCGCTCCATGGCGAAGCCAGACTTTTTTCAAAAATGACCTTGACATCGACCAAACTGTGTGTGGGTACCGTTTGCAGTTCCGGGAAGTAAAAGGCAGCCGGCGTGATGCTGACCACATCACCCATCTTGTGCCGATTGGTCTATAAAAATATAGGTCTAGCCCAAATGCCCTATACGCCTAAAGGCGTGGAAAATGGACCTTAACTTACTGATTATTATTATTTACGGAACTCTAATAGCTCAGCACTGCTACCCATAGAAAGGTTGGTAAATTTGACGTCGGTAAAGCGCCAGCAATGACAGCAACATGGCGGGTGGTGGCTGGTGCTGAAAAGGAAAGGGGTGGGGGGGGGGGTGGGATTTGGGGTTAGTTCAGGATATTCAGGGGTCGTTAAAGACAAAAGACAGCCTGACGCCCCTCTAATTTACACTATGGCATGGGAAGGGCCACAAAAAATTAATGAAACTACAACTACAGTATGTAATGAATGAAACTAGAACTACAGTATGTTATGAAAGAAACTATAACTACAGTATGTCATCAATGAAACTACAACTACAGTCTGTCATGAATGAAACTACAACTACAGTATGTCAGGAATGAAACAGAAACTACAGTATGTCATGAATTAAACTATAACTCACTATGTCATACAACTACAGTATGTCATGAATGAAACTACAACTGCAGTATGTCATGAATGAAACTATAACTGCAGTATGTCATGAATGAAACTGCAACTACAGTATATCATCAATGAAACTACAACTACAGTATGTCATCAATGAAACTACAACTACAGTATGTCATCAATGAAACTACAACTACAAGATGTCATCAATGAAACTACAACTACAGTTTGTCATCAATTAAACTGCAACTACAGTATGTCATCAATGAAACTTCAACTACAGTATGTCATCAATGAAACTACAACTACAGTATGTCATCAATGAAACTACAACTACAAGATGTCATCAATGAAACTACAACTACAGTTTGTCATCAATGAAACTACAACTACAGTATGTCATCAATGAAACTACAACTACAGTATGTCATGAATGAAACTACAACTACAGTATGTCATCAAGGAAACTACAACTACAGTATGTCATCAATGAAACTACAACTACAGTATGTCATCAAGGAAACTACAACTACAGTATGTCATCAATGAAACTACAACTACAGGATGTCATTAATGAAACTACAACTACAGTATGTCATCAATGAAACTACAACTACAGGATGTCATTAATGAAACTACAACTACAGTATGTCATCAATGAAACTACAACTACAGGATGTCATCAATGAAACTACAACTACAGGATGTCATCAATGAAACTACAACTACAGGATGTCATCAATGAAACTACAACTACAGTATGTCATCAATGAAACTACAACTACAGGATGTCATCAATGAAACTACAACTACAGTATGTCATCAATGAAACTACAACTACAAGATGTCATCAATGAAACTACAACTACAGTATGTCATCAATGAAACTACAACTACAGTATGTCATCAATGAAACTACAACTACAGGATGTCATCAATGAAACTACAACTACAGTATGTCATCAATGAAACTACAACTACAGTATGTCATCAATGAAACTACAACTACAGTATGTCATCAATGAAACTACAACTACAGTATGTCATCAATGAAACTACAACTACAAGATGTCATCAATGAAACTACAACTACAAGATGTCATCAATGAAACTACAACTACAGTATGTCATCAAGGAAACTACAACTACAGTATGTCATCAATGAAACTACAACTACAGTATGTCATCAAGGAAACTACAACTACAGTATGTCATCAATGAAACTACAACTACAGGATGTCATTAATGAAACTACAACTACAGTATGTCATCAATGAAACTACAACTACAGGATGTCATTAATGAAACTACAACTACAGTATGTCATCAATGAAACTACAACTACAGGATGTCATCAATGAAACTACAACTACAGGATGTCATCAATGAAACTACAACTACAGGATGTCATCAATGAAACTACAACTACAGTATGTCATCAATGAAACTACAACTACAGGATGTCATCAATGAAACTACAACTACAGTATGTCATCAATGAAACTACAACTACAAGATGTCATCAAGGAAACTACAACTACAGTATGTCATCAATGAAACTACAACTACAGTATGTCATCAATGAAACTACAACTACAGTATGTCATCAATGAAACTACAACTACAGGATGTCATCAATGAAACTACAACTACAGTATGTCATCAATGAAACTACAACTACAGTATGTCATCAATGAAACTACAACTACAGTATGTCATCAATGAAACTACAACTACAGTATGTCATCAATGAAACTACAACTACAAGATGTCATCAATGAAACTACAACTACAAGATGTCATCAATGAAACTACAACTACAGTATGTCATCAAGGAAACTACAACTACAGTATGTCATCAATGAAACTACAACTACAGTATGTCATCAAGGAAACTACAACTACAGTATGTCATCAATGAAACTACAACTACAGGATGTCATTAATGAAACTACAACTACAGTATGTCATCAATGAAACTACAACTACAGGATGTCATTAATGAAACTACAACTACAGTATGTCATCAATGAAACTACAACTACAGGATGTCATCAATGAAACTACAACTACAGGATGTCATCAATGAAACTACAACTACAGGATGTCATCAATGAAACTACAACTACAGTATGTCATCAATGAAACTACAACTACAGGATGTCATCAATGAAACTACAACTACAGTATGTCATCAATGAAACTACAACTACAAGATGTCATCAAGGAAACTACAACTACAGTATGTCATCAATGAAACTACAACTACAGTATGTCATCAATGAAACTACAACTACAGTATGTCATCAATGAAACTACAACTACAGGATGTCATCAATGAAACTACAACTACAAGATGTCATCAAGGAAACTACAACTACAGTATGTCATCAATGAAACTACAACTACAGTATGTCATCAATGAAACTACAACTACAGTATGTCATCAATGAAACTACAACTACAGTATGTCATCAATGAAACTACAACTACAGTATGTCATCAATGAAACTACAACTACAGTATGTCATCAATGAAACTACAACTACAGTATGTCATCAATGAAACTACAACTACAGTATGTCATCAATGAAACTACAACTACAGTATGTCATCAATGAAACTACAACTACAGGATGTCATTAATGAAACTACAACTACAGGATGTCATCAATGAAACTACAACTACAGGATGTCATCAATGAAACTACAACTACAGGATGTCATCAATGAAACTACAACTACAGTATGTCATCAATGAAACTACAACTACAGGATGTCATCAATGAAACTACAACTACAGTATGTCATCAATGAAACTACAACTACAAGATGTCATCAAGGAAACTACAACTACAGTATGTCATCAATGAAACTACAACTACAGTATGTCATCAATGAAACTACAACTACAGTATGTCATCAATGAAACTACAACTACAGGATGTCATCAATGAAACTACAACTACAAGATGTCATCAAGGAAACTACAACTACAGTATGTCATCAATGAAACTACAACTACAGTATGTCATCAATGAAACTACAACTACAGTATGTCATCAATGAAACTACAACTACAGTATGTCATCAATGAAACTACAACTACAGTATGTCATCAATGAAACTACAACTACAGTATGTCATCAATGAAACTACAACTACAGTATGTCATCAATGAAACTACAACTACAGTATGTCATCAATGAAACTACAACTACAGTATGTCATCAATGAAACTACAACTACAGTATGTCATCAATGAAACTACAACTACAGTATGTTTGGGCATGAGTTTGCGACTTGTTCTATTTGTATTATGATTGTGATTATTGACGGTGGTGGCTCTAATAGCTCAGCACTGCTACCCACAGGAAGGTCGGTAAACTGGACGAGGGTAAAGCGCCAGCAGTGACAGCAACATGGCGGGTGGTCGCTGGCGGTGAACGCAAGAATATCTCCTTCTGTAAGTTGCTCTTTCAATCTCAAATAATGTGCGATGTGTGATGGACACTTGTCAATGAATCCCTCCCTGATTTGGGTCAGGCCTTTCCTTACTTTTAGAGTTTGGTCAAAATAGGGCTTTTTTTCCTTCTTTTTCTAGAAAAGGAAAAGGTGCCGGAACTTATCATATAGTGTCTAAAAATGTACCGGTACTTATCATAAAGTGTATAAAAAGGTTCCTGTACTCATAAAAAAGGTGCCAGAACTCATCATTTAGTGTCTAAAAATGTGCCGGTACTTATCACATAATGTCTATAAAAAAAAAGTGCGAGTACTCATCATATAGTGTTAAAAAAAGTGTCGGTACTGCGTACCAGAAACAAAGCCATTGGTCAAAGATTGTTTAATAAACAGTATGTTCAACAAGTTAACATGTACTGAAAGTCTACATTCCGGGGCCTATTCTGTGAGAAACAAAGAACAGAATCGCCGCATGTTTTAAAAGGCAGCTGAAGTTCTGGAACTAGACCACAGTTTAGTAGTGGACGAACAACCAAACCTTTCCGTCGGAGTTTACAGGTGGGAACCAAACGTGAACTGTGGTCTTGTCCCAGAACTTGTTTTGCGTGCACATCCTTTTTATAGATCTGGCTTCTTTGTACGCATATTGTTGGCTCCTTGGCTCTCGGGCAGATGCACTCCAACTCCGAAGGAAAATCCCGACTTGTCGACTCCTACGACATGCTCCTTATGGAGGCAATGGGTCTGTTCTTGTTTTTCCCACGATGGGCCCCCGAACCCGAGAGAGCGAGACAGACAGACGACCGACCGACCGACCGACCGACCGATAGACAGACAGACAGACAGACCGGTGAAGCGAACTGGAAACTGAAGTTAGAACGACAGAGAGTAATTAGGGTAAGCTGTATGCGATAGCAACGGATATAACGACTTGGCGCGGATTCCAGTAGCACACTGTTGCACATACCATTCTTACTCGTTCTCCAGTACGTGTTCCTTGCCGGATCCACACTTAATTCCAAACTCACCAAACCTTATACATGTTGTTTTATTTACCACTGCATCTTCTATCAACACTCGTTCATAAATGGCATTTCCTGAACAATTTTCTTGTTCAGTATGCATTTTCCTAACGCTGTCACTTTGTGCCCCAACAACAACAACAACAACAACAAAATCAGCGTATTCATATCTTCTTATGTAGCTCTTAGATAACTGCCCGCGTCATGAGTCAGTTTACATTAATTGGCCATCTCATGGGAAGGAGAAAACTAGAGTACACTGTGACAGTGGGAAATACGGACGGGAAGCGAGGCAGAGAGACCGAGAGAGAACATGCTGGGACAGTTTGACATCCTGGCTTGAAAGATCACATGTGTTCCAAATGATTGAAAGTACTCGAAACAGAAGGTTGTGGACATACATGACTACCGAAGCCACACGGTGTTGACTGTAAAAAGAAGAAAACTAGACACTGTTTCTGTTGATCAGGAAAACATATCAAACCAAACCAAAACTAGAACTAGTCAACTTCCCATTATCATAATCACACACTATAAGTCTTCTTCTTCGCGCTCACCAGCTGTACACTCCGGCGAAAAGTTCTGGTTGTTCGTCCACTTCTGAACTGCAGTCCTGCTCCAGAACCTGAGTGTTGCGTGTGCATCAGTTTTACAGATCTGATTCACTTGAATGCAGACTGTTGGTTCCTTGCCTCTTAGGCAGATGCACTCCGACTTCAAAGAAAGCTCCCCAATTGATCGACTCTTACGACATGCTTTTGGGTAGGCAGAGGGTCTATTCTTGTTTTCCCCACGATAGGGCCCCGGAACCCACACGGGAAACACTATAAGTGAACGTTGCGGCTAGAAAGGCTTCATCAGTATAGGAGATAAATAGATAATGTTACAGTTACAAACAAGAATACATAAAAGTAATCTGAAGAATTCTACATGTCTGCCTGGCCAGTCTCATACATCTCCAAGAGAATTCCACATGTCTGTCTGGCCAGTTGAGGTTCTGACACATGCTGATTTTGTTTGCACTGTTCTACATCTAGAAATGAGAGAAAAATACTGACATTTTAAAAGATTTGAAAATCAAGAAAGACTGGCTAATACTTGGCACCTTGTCTCAGAAATTGGAATATTTAAGTCATATCAAGCGCCACGTCGGATGGAAGAAAATAAAAACAGAAGGCTTGGTACCAGGAAGGAGAGGCAGTGGCCGACCAACACGAAGATGGGCACAGGATATAAGTGAATACTTGAATATGAAAGTACATGAGCCGGGAGAGCTGGCAAGAGACCTAGTTTCTTTCAGACAGACCGTGATGAGAGCGACGTTCTGCAAAGGACTTGATACATAATGATTATGATCCTACACCTAATTATTGTCACTGAAAGGTATCCCTTTGCTTCTTATTTCAGCTCGAGATAACATGAACGTTTATCTCGATGGATCCCCCATCGAGTGCACGGTAAGACTAATCACCAGCACATATATATCGTAGAGTAACATTTATTTTCATATAGTAAATATTAAACAATAAGATTTTAATAAAGATACATTACAGAACGCTGAAGGCGATTTCGGATGTGGCGAATTTCTGTTTTGTGAAACAATTTGTTTATCCCCAGCAATTTTCTTGTTTGAACTCTTATTCGGATTAGAGCAATTACTGACAAGAAAAACTATTTCTTGTGTGCCCTGCAAGTTCTCTTCATCAGATCTGCACTTACAGTGAGAATAGTATCAACAGATAAAATGGTTCAGACACGTGTGAAGACAACCGCCAGATAGTGCACCATGAATGTTCCTGTCACTTAGACGCAACGTAGGCAGAACTAGAGGTCGACTACGCAAACGATGGATAGATGGAATAGCCGAGGCCATAAAAACCAGTATATATGTAGCGCATACCAAAGCTGACACTTGATGCTTATTCAGAACCTGACGCTGAGAGGTAGAATAGGATAAGACAGTGTTTCCCAAACTGTTCTTAGTCGTGGCGCAGTTTTTCAGTTAAAATTTTCCCACGGCGCCCCCACCTAAGTAAAAGTATGACTATTCGTGTGTAAGAGATACACACACACACACACACACACACACACACACACACACAACACACACACACACACACACACACAAACTCGTGTATATTCGAATATTTCGCGGTGCCCCTGTGAAGAGGTCGCAGCTCCCCGGGGCGCCGCGGCGCAGAGTTTGGGAATCACTGGGATAAGAGAAGAAGGGGAAAAAACCCTCTGAGAATATGTTAATCTTCAAGAAAATGTCTTACAAACAGGGGTGCTGGCACACACAAAAATATTAGGGTGTTCTGGGGTGGGAGATTTAGCCTTCTTTTACATTTTCCAGAAAGTGGAGGGGTGTCTCGAGCAGCCTCTGCTTTAAGTGTGTAATAAAAATAATTATAATTATACGCTGAAAGGAAAATATAGTAATTTTAGACATACGGCAAGGATATGTACTATTACCTGTGATATGTTTTCATTACATGCATAATTTATAATGAAATCTGTCTATATAGCAACAAGTCAGAAAGAACTACAGGAGTTTATAGATACGGTGGTGGTAGAAAGTGATAAAATGGGGCTGAGTTTAAATAACGGAGGTTTAAAAACAGATGTAGTTGCGATTTCCAAGAAAAGAATAGCGCCTAAATATAAAATAAAGTCAGAGGGGTTATTTCAGGACAAGTACAGAAATTTTAGTATCAGTATGGAAGATGTATCACAGAGATAAAGAAAAAATAGGACAGGCTAAAACTGCATTTTATAAAAGAAGAACATTGTATGCAGTAAATCAATGTCATTGTATGTTAGGAACAGAATTCTCCCATGCTATATAGAGTTAGCGGAGATGTGGTTTTACGGAAGAATCCTCACAATTCAGCATAATCCCAACCCTCCTCCCCCCCCCCCCCCTCTCCAAAAAGAAATAAGCTAAAACTTTTTGAAAGAGAAGATGCCTGGAGGATAGCTTATCACAAGCATCAGAAGGAGGCCTTCAAGACTTTTGGTCATGTTATGAGGAGAAGCAATTTGGAGCATGCTGTCACCACTGGAAATATCACTGGGACAAAAGACAGAGGAAAACAACTCGAACAGATTCTTGGCAGCCTTTTGTCATGGCATGGAGGGGTGTTGAGAGTTGAACTGATACACGCTGCTGAAGATTGCAGCTTGCTGGTTCCGGCATGGAGGGGTGTTAACAGTTGAACTGAGACACGCTGCTGAAGATTGCAGCTTGCTGGTTCCGGCATGGAGGGGTGTTGACAGTTGAACTGAGACACGCTGCTGTAGATTGTAGGTTGTTGGTTCCGTCATGGAGGAGTGTTAACAGTTGAACTGAGACAAGCTGCTGTAGATTGTAGGTTGTTGGTTCTGGCGTAGAGGGGTGTTAACAGTTGAACTGAGACAAGCTGCTGTAGATTATAGGTTGTTGGTTCCGGCATGGAGGAGTGTTAACAGTTGAACTGAGACACGCTGCTGAAGATTGCAGCTTGCTGGTTCCGGCATGGAGGAGTGTTGACAGTTGAACTGAGACACGCTGCTAAAGATTGCAGCTTGCTGGTTCCGGCATGGAGGGGTGTTGACAGCTGAACTGATACACGCTGCTGAAGATTGCAGCTTGCTGGTTCCGGCATGGAGGAGTGTTGACAGTTGAACTGATACACGCTGCTGAAGATTGCAGCTTGCTGGTTCCGGCATGGAGGAGTGTTGACAGTTGAACTGAAACAAGCTGCTGTAGATTGTAGGTTGTTGGTTCTGGCGTAGAGGGGTGTTAACAGTTGAACTGAGACAAGCTGCTGTAGATTATAGGTTGTTGGTTCCGGCGTGGAGGAGTGTTAACAGTTGAACTAGTACACGTTACTGAAGATTGCAGCTTGTTGGTTCGGACATTGAGGGGTGTTAACAGTTGAACTGGTACATTCTGCTAAAGATTGCAGCTTGTTGGTTCCACAGAACCAGCAGATGCACTCTGAATTCGAAGGAAACACTACTAATTATTCGACTTTTACCACATGCTTGTTATGGACAGGTTAACCTCCCCCCCCCCCTCCCATATAAGGTTTACATTACAGATAACAATGGTAGTCTTCTCCAAACATCCCTGTCTTGTTTCTGTCTGCAGGCCTACGTCACCGATGGCGGTTATGACCTCGATCTTTTGTTTAACGTCGGTGAGAACCACGGCCATATCTACAGCGACGTGGAGGGCACCGAGATGACCAACTATCTCTTCTTTGATGACCAGCTGGTGGCCCAGGAGAAGCAGAAGAACCTTCAGTCCAAGCATCAACCAGATGACATCTGATACTGCTTTCAATTAATGGTGCTCTTACCGAAACGTTTTAATCATTGTTCATTGGACCTAGCCACTGACTTTTTTTTCTCATCTTCTCTTCTTCCTCTCCTTCTGCTACTGCTTCTCTTTCTTCTCCTCCTCCCATCCTTCTTAGAGTTCACCGGCTATAATCTGTGGCGGAATGTCTGGGCATTCGTCCACTTCCGGACTTTGATCTTGTTCCAGAACTTAAATGTTGCGTGCACATTAGTTTTACAAGGCTGGCTTATGTGTATGCAGACTGTCAGGCAGATGCACTCGGACTTAGAGGGAGACACTCCTAATTAGTTGCCTCCCATGCCACGCTTGGAAGAGGACATTGAGTCTACTGACTTCCACCCCCCTGCCCTTTTCCTCCCTAATGGGCCCCGAAATCCACTGACTTTATTGTAATTATTTCAGTCTTGTAAATTTTTATTTTCATGTGGAGTTTTTCGTGTGATTTTAATGTGGTTTTGAAACTACTTTATCATTTTTGATTAAACTCCAATATATATGTATATGTATTGTAGAATCCATTTTTGTTTGTTTGTTCAGATTCTCCCTCTGCATATTTGCATTCTGTACGACTGACAGCTCACAGATGAGAATCAAACAGCTACAAATCCCAGAAATCCTGTTCAACCGTAAAGCGATATAGCACACTTATACTGGAGCACCAAAAAACAGATAGGAAGTAACATGTAGTTTTCTCTCCCCCCCCCCTCTCTCTCTCTCTCTCTCTCTCTCTCTCTCTCTCTCTCTCTCTCTCTCTCTCTCTCTCTTTGTGTGGCTGGGGGGGGGGGGGGGGGGGGTGTGGATTGTATGTCAAAAAGTATTTGAGTGAGTGAGCTCTTTAATTCTGATTCAATGTAGGTGATGGTTTTGTGTGTCATTCTGTTTTATTGTTGTTATTATTATTGTTGTTATTATAATTGTTGTTATTATAATTGTTGTTATTATTATTGTTATTATTATTATTGTTATTATTATTATTGTTATTATTATTGTTATTATATTATTATTATTATTATTAATGTTTTTGTTATAATTATTAGTATTATTAGCACTTGCGACCACACACACACATCAGCACTTGCGACCACACACACACATCAGCACTTGCGACCACACGCACGTCAGCACTTGCGACCACACACACATAAGCACTTGCGACCACACACACACATCAGCCCTTGCGACCACACACACACATCAGCACTTGCGACCACACACACACATCAGCACTTGCGACCACACACACATCAGCACTTGCGACCACACACACACACGTCAGCACTTGCGACCACACACACACGTCAGTACTTGCGACCACACACACACGTCAGCACTTGCGACCACACACACATCAGCACTTGCGACCACACACACTTCAGCACTTGCGACCACACACACATCAGCACTTGCGACCACACACACACATCAGCACTTGCGACCACACACACACGTCAGTACTTGCGACCACACACATTAGCACTTGCGACCACACACACTTCAGCACTTGCGACCACACACACATCAGCACTTGCGACCACACACACACATCAACACTTGCGACCACACACACACGTCAGTACTTGCGACCACACACATTAGCACTTGTGACCACACACACACGTCAGCACTTGCGACCACACACACATCAGCACTTGCGACCACGCAAATCAGCACTTGCGACCACACACATCAGCACTTGCGACCATACACGTCAGCACTTGCGACCACACACACATAAGCACTTGCGACCACACACACACACATCAGCACTTGCGACCACACACACACACGTCAGCACTTGCGACCACACACACACATCAGCACTTGCGACCACACACACACATCAGCACTTGCGACCACACACACACATCAGCACTTGCGACCACACACACACACATATCAGCACTTGCGACCACACAAACATCAGCACTTGCGACCACAAACACACATCAATACTTGCGACCACACACACACACATCAGCACTTGCGACCACACACACACATCAGCACTTGCGAGCACACACACACATACACACATCAGCACTTGCGACCACACACACACATCATCGCTTGCGACCACACACACACATCAGCACTTGCGACCACACAGACATCATCACTTGCAACCACACACACACGTCAGCACTTGCGACCACACACACACATCATCGCTTGCGACCACACACACACATCAGCACCTGCGACCACACACACACATCAGCACTTGCGACCACACAAACATCATCACTTGCGACCACACACACACGTCAGCACCTGCGACCACACACACACGTCAGCACTTGCGACCGCACACACACATCAGCCCTTGCGACCACACACACACATCAGCACTTGCGACCACACACACACATCAGCACTTGCGACCACACAAACATCAGCACTTGCGACCACACACACACACACGTCAGCACTTGCGACCACACACACACACGTCAGCACTTGCGACCACACACACACGTCAGCACTTGCGACCACACACACATCAGCACTTGCGACCACACACACTTCAGCACTTGCGACCACACACACATCAGCACTTGCGTCCACACACACACATCAGCACTTGCGACCACACACACACGTCAGTACTTGCGACCACACACATTAGCACTTGCGACCACACACACTTCAGCACTTGCGACCACACACACATCAGCACTTGCGACCACACACCCACATCAGCACTTGCGACCACACACACACGTCAGTACTTGCGACCACACACATTAGCACTTGTGACCACACACACACGTCAGCACTTGCGACCACACACACACATCATCGCTTGCGACCACACACACACATCAGCACCTGCGACCACACACACACATCAGCACTTGCGACCACACAAACATCATCACTTGCGACCACACACACACGTCAGCACCTGCGACCACACACACACGTCAGCACTTGCGACCGCACACACACATCAGCCCTTGCGACCACACACACACATCAGCACTTGCGACCACACACACACATCAGCACTTGCGACCACACAAACATCAGCACTTGCGACCACACACACACACACGTCAGCACTTGCGACCACACACACACACGTCAGCACTTGCGACCACACACACACGTCAGCACTTGCGACCACACACACATCAGCACTTGCGACCACACACACGTCAGCACTTGCGACCACACACACATAAGCACTTGCGACCACACACACACATCAGCACTTGCGACCACACACACACACGTCAGCACTTGCGACCACACACACACATCAGCACTTGCGACCACACACACACATCAGCACTTGCGACCACACACACACATCAGCACTTGCGACCACACAAACATCAGCACTTGCGACCACACACACACATATCAGCACTTGCGACCACACAAACATCAGCACTTGCGACCACAAACACACATCAATACTTGCGACCACACACACACATCAGCACTTGCGACCACACACACACATCAGCACTTGCGAGCACACACACACATCAGCACTTGCGACCACACACACACACATCATCGCTTGCGACCACACACACACATCAGCACCTGCGGCCACACATACACATCAGCACTTGCCACCACACAGACATCATCACTTGCGACCACACACACACGTCAGCACTTGCGACCACACACACACATCATCGCTTGCAACCACACACACACATCAGCACCTGCGACCACACACACACATCAGCACTTGCGACCACACAAACATCATCACTTGCGACCACACACACATGTCAGCACCTGCGATCACACACACACGTCAGCACTTGCGACCACACACACACATCAGCCCTTGCGACCACACACACACATCAGCACTTGCGACCACACAAACATCAGCACTTGCGACCACACACACACGTCAGCACTTGCGACCACACACACACGCGTCAGCACTTGCGACCACACACACACTTCAGCACTTGCGACCACACACACATCGGCACTTGCGACCACACACACACCAGCACTTGCGACCACACACACATCAGCACTTGCGACCACAAACACACATCAGCACTTGCGACCACACACACATCAACACTTGCCACCACACACACACATCAGCACTTGCGACCACACACACACATCAGCACTTGCGACCACACACACACATCAGCACTTGCGACCACACACACACGTCAGCACTTGCTACACCACACACACACACACGTCAGCACTTGCGACCACACACACTCGTCAGCACTTGCGACCACACACACACGTCAGCACTTGCGACCACACACAAAAATAGAAATAGTAAATAGAGAACGATAACTATATTGATTGGGTCAACAAGTTACTGAGAACGATAACTATATTGATTGGGTCAACAATTTACCGAGAATGGTAGTTATATTGATTGTGTCAACAATTTACTGGAAATAATAACTATATTGTTTGGGTCAACAAGTTACTGAGAACGATAACTATATTGATTGGGTCAACAAGTTACTGAGAACGATAACTATTTTTATTGGGTCAACAAGTTACTAAAAATGATAACTATATTGATTGGGTCAACAGGTTACCGAGAACGGTAGTTAGATTGATTGGGTCAACAATTTACTGGAAATAATAACTATATTGTTTGGGTCAACAAGTTACTGAGAACAATAACTATATCGTTTGGGTCAACAAGTTACTGATGACGATGACTATATTGTTTGGGTCAACAAGTTACCGAGAAAGATAACTATATTGATTGTATCAACAAATTACTGAGAACGTTAACTTTATTGTTTGGGTCAACAATTTACTTGAAGTGGTGTCTAGAGTGCAGTAGGGGTCTAGACTTGGGAGTCTTGTTTGACCCAGCATGACAAACTGTCTGTAACCCCAGTCTGAATATGGGTTTAGGGGAATAAAGAATAGACCCACTGCCTCCCCCAACAAGCATGTCGTAGGAGTCGACCAAACGGGGGCCTCCTCCAAAGTTAGAGTGCAGCTGC